TTATCTTTGAATATTAAATTCTACAGTGAATAATTTTAATAATTTTTCATTAAATCATTTGCACAAACTAGTCCACTCCCAGAGTAAAATACTTAAATGTATTGACCCAAAAACGGACTTAAAATTAAAAATAACTAACAGTTTATGACATAATTTTGGTGACAGCGGTGGGATTATTTTTATGAGTAATTTAATGGAAAGATTTACTAAACAATTTAAAATTAAACAATTTAAGACAACAGCTTTCTATCCACAAGCCAATGGAGCTTTAGAACGTTCACACGCAGTATTAATTGAATATTTGAAGCAATATGGAAATAGATTTACTGAATGGGATGAATTATTAGAATATGCAACCTTTCATATAATTAACACAAGTACTCATGAATCAACTGAATACACTCCATATGAGTTGGTGTTTGGTAAAATAACCAGACAACCATCCAGTGAAATAATTTATGAAGAAAAAGAAAAAACTTATGATGATTAGTTACAACAATTAATGACAAATATTTACAACCTACAAGAATTAGCAAGAGAATGTTTAATTGCATCAAAAATCAAATCTAAATATTATTATGATCGAAAAATCAATCTTCATGAATTTCAAATAAATGATCAAATTTTCTTATTACGTGAACCTGAAAAAGGTAAATTGAGAGATCAATATTCTGGACCACATACTATAGTGGATATTTTACCAAATGGAAATATTAAATTACTTTCTAAAGGAAAATTTAAAATAGTTCACCCTAATAAAATTCGGAAAACAAGGAACAAATAATTAAATAAAACTAAAGCTGAGAGATTGGACTTGAACCGCGCAGCATCTTCAATTTCCCAGAATTAAATATTAAAATAAGTTAATAATTAATTAATTTTAATCATAGATGAAAACTGTAATCTACCTAATTGTAATGCGGATAATCTTCATGCGAGGAATTTATGGAATTGTTGGCTATGACTGCGGATCGGCAAATTTCAACACAACAATAATATCATTATTGGATA